GAAAGAAGATATAAGATGTGTCATATTGCAGTGGTGGTAGGGCAGACTACACATTTGATGCGTATTACCCGTGGTATTACTACTTATTTATTGGATTTCTAGAATAACACAAGCAATTTAATTTTCATCAGTAGCTTTTTTATACAAGTTAATAAACATAAATCCTTATTCCCAGCACTGTAGCTCAACCTTAATCATCCCAAGTTCCCAACTTAAAAGCTTCAATAAACTAACGCCCAAGAAGAGTCGTTAACAAAACTACTAAGATCTCAAATGAACCTTCACACCGAGTTGGGAAGTGACATCCATCCAAACTTCCAACTGAGGAACCGCGGGGCGTGTTTTGCTAATTAAAACCAAACAATCCGAACTAAGATTACAATGGCGTCATTAACATCTACTTATTACTTCCCAATGGATGGCTCATCAAAGTTGTGATAGATTTTGTTGACAATAATACTAGACGAAATGAGTTTTGACTTGGTATAATAAACATGGAGCGTGCTATGCTCGGTGTTTCCCTGCGTGGTCGAATCAGAAATGAGGAGATCCGTAGGAGAACTAGAGTGACTGACATAGCCCGCAAAATCGCTAAAATCAAGCGGCAGTGGGCGGGGCACATAGCTCGAAGAGCTGATGGCCGCTGGGGCAGGAAAGTTCTTGAGTGGCGACCACGAGCCGGAAGACGTAGCGTGGGCAGGCCTCCCACTAGGTGGACCGAAGATCTGGTGAAGGTCGCGGGAGGTGCCTGGATGCGAGCGACGCAGTACCGGTCTTTGTGGAAATCCTTGGGGAGGCCTTTGTCCAGCAGTGGACGTCTTTCGGCTGAAACAACAACAACAACAACAACAACATCAACAATAATAAACATAACTGTAAGAAATCTGACATCCGTAACTAAATAAGTCTACTATCCTATCTAAATTTTATTGTAGTAGGTAGGTACGCTGTGGATATTAGTTGTAAAAACTTACAAAATGGATAAAAAGTACTTTTTTTCACGGTAGGTTCTGTACCTGAAAAGGAAAACCCTTATAGCTTATACATGTTTGTACCATGAGTTTAGGCCAAATTATTCATTTGTCTCTTGCCTCTTGCCCCTTGTCTACCTACTTCAATTTTGAAGAAGTGCGCTAAACTTCTAAAAAAATGTTCAGTCCAACAAATGTAAGTACGAGTAGATTGATGTGTTTATTCATTCAGATTTAAGCACGAAAATATGAAATCAAAAATCCAAATTTGTCAAGCGCAAGCAATTTCAATGTACCTACACAAAAATTTCACATCTCAACACACACATTATGTATTTTTCCTGCTCCACTAACCTTGTAAGGTTCTAAATATCCGTTTTCCACTTCAGAGAGGTCCACTAATGATCGATGGAGGCGCCCTCTCCCGGGACTCGTCCTGACATCTGTTACTCGGAAGCTATTTGCGAGTTCAACTTTTGCGACTTTAAGTCGTTTTGAGGAGCTAAAAAACTTTATGGGAAGTCAGAGGTCATTAAGGTGCGAAAGTTTTTAACTGTAAAATGAACGTGACGCGTGCTATGCAAATCGAGTTGAGATTAAACAGTGAATATTTATTTTGCGTAGCTTATAAATGTGAAAAAATCTTTAAGGTCGTTAGACGATTGTGAATGGAAAGAAATTAGTAGCATCGAACTGTTTCAAAGGTCTTTTATTCGAACGGTGACCTCTGAACCATTTTAGTGACCCCACTCCTAGAACACAAACATAATATTATTTTTTAGCTTATCTGTTTCAGGAAATATTAGATGTGTATTAATTCAGCAATAACTAAAACTCTCGGTTTAAAGCCAGTGTTTTCATTTATATTCATTTGTTCATGCGGAGTATGTATTTTCATAAAGTATTTACTCAAAAATTGCCCGAACATTCTCGTTGGGCGCTGTAGCATCGTAGCTCGTAGCTCCGTAGCAACTGTAGCGTGCCCGCTACTGCCGCTACGCCGTAGCGTCTTGAATATCAAAATAATAAGACGTGGTTAGTACTCCATTCCAAAAGTGCTCAGAGAATTGCTCATTACAAAACTTTGGCAATTCACTTTAAGGTTGTGGAATTAATAAGAGGTTATTTAAATAATCTAAGAATAATCGTAAACATTCATGTTAATTTCTTGCGGCGTTAGAAGCCACAACGTAAACTTAAACGAGTTTGGTGCTAGAAATTAACATTTTAATGCTGCTTGAATTTTATTTCGTACCTGTCTGGTACAGACATTAGATAACTAGTCCGTTAACACTAGAAGTGCCGAAGATTACGACCCCCCTAAAAGCGCCGCTGGGTCAATTTTGTCCCAGCATGTATTTTGTAACATTTTTTAGTTTCAGGCATGAATATTATGGTTAAAACTATTTGTAGTATCCATAAAAAAAGGTTTATCTATGTGGTTAAAACAATATGTACTTATTTCTTTAAAAATATAAATGTATTCAATTTTAATTTGGAATTGTTAAAATTTAGATGTTTTTGGTTTCATTTAAAAATAGTCACATATTACGTGGTGGTATACTGTATTAAAATCATGAAATTACTACTTTAACTAGTCATTATTATTTTTAAAGAAAAAATAAATATCTTAAAAATAATAGTGCACATTTTGCACAAAGTTTTTTTGTATGGTTTTTTGTCTATCTGGTGTACTATATGTTTAGGAATTTCTATAGGTATGGTTATTTTTCTGTTATCTGTACACAAACAATGAAGTTTTTGACCAATTACAGTGAAAAGTATGTACGTTTAATCTTCAAAATTGTATAAGTCACAAATTTTAAAAATGTATCAAATCATACAATGTATGAACTGGCTTATGTTTAGAGGCCATCTTCCTACTAATATTATAAATGTAAAAGTTAATAAATATTGATGAATTGAAGGATGGATGGACTGATGAATGGATATGATGGATGAATAGGTGGATATATGCCTGGAACTTAAACTAAGTGAGCATGGATTCATAGTTAGATCGATGGATGTTTTTTCACTCTTTTACGCAAAAAATACTAAGCCGATCTTAATAAAACTTTGCAATTTTATTGTTAATACTTTAGAATAACATAATATAGGCTATAATTTAGAATAATGTTCAGTTATTTGGTCAAAAAGCAACGATAAGTGTCAAGAAATGAGGTCTTTCTATGACAAACTTAATTTCTCACGGGTGAAGTCACAGGCAAAAACTAGTACAATATATTTACATTTCTGCATTGTCACGAGTCACCTAAACTCTCCTCACCTCTCCACTTTCGTATCACCTCGAAAAAAGGACTCTTCATCGAATTATTGTAGCAAATACCAGGGTGGGACAAAATTGACCCAGTGGCGCTTCTAGGTAAAACCGATTTAAAAAAAAATCTATTAATGTTATGTTATCAAAAACATTAAAAAATGATAAAATTCAATAAATCAGAAAAAGTCAAAAAGTTTCATGGACTTTCGTTGAAAAATAAAAAAGTTAGAGCTGATCAAACTCGCGAGTGGGACAAAAATGGGACGGCGGCCTTTCTAGTGTTAAAAGGTGAGAATCTCTTTGTAAAAAGTTTTATCTTTTAAAGGATTTTACGGTTTATTTTCACGTTACTAAAATTATTTTTGTAGGAAAAGCTCCTATCTCTCACGGTCTATGTAAAATGAAAAACTTAAATGCGATGTTTCGCAAAATAGTAAAGTACAGAGTACAAAATGATTTTTCTTTATTAAATATTTTTGTGGCAGCATCATATTCTAGCTAAAGTGCAAAATCACACTTTCTTTTGTTTTGCGTAATCTCCAAGATTGTTGTGACGTGTGTTTTTACGAACTTTCAATCGAATAAAAAGCATGACTACGCTTAAATTGAACGCTAAAACATTACACTGCCAGCTATTAAATACAACAATATGTTTTTAACGCTTCAAAAACTCACCTTCCCATAACACGGTACAGTTAAGTGCTAGATTGGCACGGGAACGGCCATTCGTTCCTTCTTGGAGATAGTCCAAGCGCTTTTATTTCAGTATCGAAGACGCCTTTAACGTTTAAATGGAGTGTACAAGTTCCATTCCACGTTTTGTTTTATTTTAGCCGACTGTACTCGAACACTAGAGAATTAAAACGGTAACAAGTTTTTAGAAAGCTCGCCGATGTTCGAAGATTTATTGGATTGCGGGCGAAATTGATTTAGAGACGTATAGATTTAATCTGGAAGATACAGGAAATATGGGAAATTTAATCTAATATACAAACAGATTATCCCAATACCTAAAATGTTTAAGTCGCTACGGCTAAATTCGAACAATTGCTTAATATCGTGATATTATCGGGAATAATCGGTAAAAATCGGGACAGTAAATCATTTCAGGGGAAAGATCTACTTAAAATTGTTTACCTACCTCATTATCACACTTTTATAATGGTAGAAACCATAAAAAAATCAATTCAGTCAAAAAATCTTAGAAAAATTATTGGTTGATATTTCCCGCATCTGATAGTGAGAATATTAATAACAATAATAACATTCGATTGTCTTCATACTTTAAATATTAAATATTGTAGTTAAACTGCTTGTCTGTAGGTGCTGATATACTAGAGCGCTTTCACATAAGGGCGTTAGTAGTGCGACTGCGTCGCGGCAGCGGTGTTTTTCTAATGTGAAGGCATGCATTCGCTGTCACATAGTATGAAATTTTCGGCAGCGCATTGTTGCGCGTTTGTCGCGCTGCTAAATTGTTTACAGATGGATGGAATACAACCGTTTAGTTTAGTAACTGCAAGCATACTGAGTTTCGTATGGGTCGCACGACTCGTGTCGCGAAGATTCGTAAGTAGCTGTCGCCCTGCGACCTGCGACCGGTCGCCGGTCGCGGTCTCGAGTCGCAGTCTCGCGTCGCGGTCGTCTTGATCCGAATGCTATCTTAAATGTGAAAGCGCTTTAAAAGTCCCAAATGGAACCTTTTTTCATGATTTTTTGTACATCTTTGTATTTTTTTTTGTTCCCAGGCTACGGCATCATTCCGCTCAAGATCCCGTCATCGCCGGCGTCTCACTGCACCCTTCACACCACTGTGGGTTGTATAGGCAATGAGGAGTGCACAGCTAAGAGCCACAGCATCATCAGGCTGCTGGGACCGGTCCGTGACGTCATCGTCAGGCCCGCCCGTCATCACTACCGACCTGGGGAGACGAGTATGTATTTATTTCTTGATTGGGTGACGTTTGCTGACTGGCACCCATATTTACAAACGATGCTTGCTTATGTGAAGTAACAAATCGAACGCACATTGTTGAATAGAGCTCTGTGATTGGTGCGTCTACGCGCACTGTGAGACCTCATAGTAATGTTTATGAATACGGGCGTAATGATTAATTTAGGTTTCATTTTGCAATGTAGATACCACAAAGTTAAAATTCTCTCAATTAATCCGTAAAATACCAGCGAAATAAATTTGAAAACCTTGAAATAAATTATTTCTAATTTAACATTGGACTCACAAAACAGATATAATTCTTGGGCTCATGATTTCAGTTACAAAATATATATTTATAACGATTAAATAAAAAAATATAAAGTCATTATTTTCCTCGAAAAAGTGTGCCAATAAGCTGCTATTTATATTTGTAATCACTCATCTAAACAGAAACGCGGGTGCAGCGAGCCGTGCCGCTTATTACATTTTATTAACGCTTTAGATGTTCAAGTAAATGTTTTTGCGAGACACGTTTCGTATTTCCAGGTTTAAATATACTTAAAAATACGTTTTAACAACCTTTATACTATCTTTTTAAGAACTTTTACACACAAAAAGTACTTAAAATTTTATGCACAGAGGTAATAGGGTAGTTCGAAGACTTTTTCGCCGCACATTCGAATTGATATCATAAAGATTTTTCCTGATAACATATCGTATGTTTTGACATCGTAATAAATGTTGATTCTGAATCCAATAATTGGAGAGAAACATGATAGTATATTAATTATTAAATATCGCTTCCAAGAACGCCAAGATCTGTAATAATAATTTGTTTGATATCTTAATTATGATTATGGATATTTTGTAAATATGATAAAGAATATTATGATCCTTATTACGAGAGTAGTTAGGTAATACTTAAATTTGGTGATTTTTAAAACAAGTCCAAGTGTCTGTCCAGTTAGAATAGAACAACCTTGAGTATGTCCAACTCTGTCCAAGTTGTAAAGCTTCTCTTTAATTAATTACACACCGCTCCGTACATTTCGAACAACTGGTTTCAAGATGTATAACTTACAAATGTTAGGTTCTGGTCCATTGAAGTTTCAACAGTTTGGAATGGTTTACTGCTACGGTGCACCGTTTAGTGAGGTTTTGTTGGTACAAGGCTATTTTATAGCTCTAGCTCTATTGTGTACTTAACACGTTGGAGGCGCAATTTAGCGATCTACCAACACCTCCTAGCTCAATACTGAACTGTATTGCGGTTGAAACATTGCTGCATGAAACATAATATTGTTTGTATCATCATCATCATTTCAGTCACTGCTGAACGTCCACTGCTGAACATAGGCCTCCCCTAATGCTTTCCACGTTGATCGATTGTTTGAATTGTTGTTTTATATTTTTGGTAACAGTAAACGTGCCTTTCCCTTTTCTTTTCTTTCTATGTGATGTACAGTGTGTTTTAAATCAAGTTGTTTTTTTTTTCATTTTAAAATAGATTTCTTACAAAATGTGAATCCCCCATTCCAAGAGCGTTTTTTCGAAAATAAGTCTAAGTCGAGACAGTTGACTGAATTTCAACTTCATGGGCTTAAATCGATTTTCGGGAGATTGAAACAATCGCCTAAGTATCTCAATAACAATAAAATTCAAACAATGGAATCGCTCCTGGGTTTCCCTATATCCAAAACCTGAGCCACAGCGGCTAAGGAAAGTGACGAATTGCCTCGAAGTCACTGGCTAAGGTTACAACGTATTTATGAGTTCATTTGTTCCAGTAACCTTCTGGATCCTCGCCCTGGACCACGACCTTCGGCTGGTGCGTGAGGAGCTGGCGTACGTAGCGCTCAGCGACCCGGCTGGGACTAAGGTGGCNAATATTTTACGGGACCCTATTTTTTTCGAAAATAAAATGTAGCCTATGTTACTCGTGAGTTATGTAGCTTTCGAATGGTGAAAGAATTTTTAAAATCGGTCCAGTAGTTTTTGAGCCTATCCATTACAACTAAACAAACAAACAAACAAACAAACAAACAAACAAACAAAGTTTTCCTCTTTATAATATTAGTGTAGATATTAGCGTATGTGCATCTCAATTTTAAAAATTACTTATTGCGGGGCCTGTCACGAGTCTTTGCGTCGAGTATAGTATAGGTCAAATCCTTCACATACCTGTGTTAAATAAAAGAGAGTCGTGCTCCTGCAATCCAGATTAAACAATTAATTGCCTGATGATGATCAAGATAAAGTAGCTCCAATTTCAAAAGCAAATTATCTGATGTAAAATCGACTATAATAAAAGGCAATAATTAAAAAAATCTTTTAATAAAACCAGACACCAAGTCATTTATGTCACACTGAATTATCATAACCATTGAAATGTTTGTTGAGTAAGAGCAAAGCTAGACAAAGATGAAAGATATGAGAAGATAATGAAGGTTTTAATAATAACTGAACTCATGTAGATTATTGTAGATGGACTTAATCCGACTACCCGTTGTATATTATGTGAGTAAATGAAAATAAGAAATGGCCAAAAATACAAATAAGTCATTTATGAAGAAAAAAAATAATGTAATCGATACTAGCTATGCTCGTGTAGAGATAGACTAAGGCTGAGTTGCACCACCTAACTTTGACCGTAACTATGACAATAACCGGTGCTTTTTGTATGGAGTTTGACAGACTTTTGACGTTTGTCAAAGTTAAAGTAAGATGGTGCAACACAGTCTTAAGCAATCTATTCCAATTAATTTGTGTCAAGTTTTAAGTTTAGAAACAGAAACCTTCATAAAAGTTAATTAGAACTGGCTGTTTCAAAGTAAGGCACATTAAAATTAAAATTAAGATGCTTCTAAAAGCAAACTTGCACCACGTGACTCCCAGTTTCAAGTTACGTCAGCGTGCCGTCCACATGTCACGATCTTATTTGTGCTAAGAGCGTTTTCCTGTCTCCCCAATCCGGCCCAGCGGCTTGTGTTTTACAGATATACCTAGTTCCTTTAATCAAACTTTACCATTCCATTTTTGAAATAATATTTTTTCTTTTTCTCTCTACGGCTATGTTACTGCTAATTTTCTTGTTTACTATCATCTATGCAGCCATCCAGCTTTAATTTATTAGAATTCGGATAACCGTAAAAATAATAAATCGTAACTTTGTATCTTTGCGGGATAATGTGCCTTGAGTTTTCGAAAGAGAGAACTGTCTTGCTTTTTTAACTAAATCCAGTGATAAAAATAAAACTCATAAAAAAAATTATTTATGCAAGTAGGCTTTTAAAAAGCACTTTTATACGTCCCAGTATTTTAAAAGAATATACATTAACAAACAAAAACATATCTTTTATTACTCGTGTAATGATACTAAATGAAATTTGTAACTTTTCTTTTTTAATTAATTACTGACACAGCAAAAGAAATGTCATATCTTACATAATTCATTACTCAAAAAGATATTTATTTCGATACATAAGTAACTCCAATCTTCGCGTATTTAGTAAATTACCCCAATTAACTTACATAAACGACGTCTAGAGTCTATAGAACTAAATTGGAGTCTGGAAATTATACTGAATGTCATAAGATCAAAGTTAATACCTACTCAATTTAGTTGCTATTTTATGAGTCACATCTCAGTAGTGATTACGTATCATAATTGGTTTAACTAATTAAATAGTTTAACCACGGAATGCGTGTAAGTGGCACCAAATAAATCCCATTCAAAGAGTTCTCCGAAATATCAACGAGAAACCGCAATTCTTATCATTGTATAAAGTTAATTAAAGTAGTTGATTAAGTAACGTAAATGAGCCGAAGTTTCAAATAACGATCGTGGAGATTGTGTTAAACTATTTAAGTTGGGCAATTTATCAGAGAAACCAATTAGCAGGTTTTACAAGAGCATTTAACGTTTTCAGGATTTTAAAAGGTTTTTTGGCTTTAAATTCATTATTAAAAGTTTTAATTTAAGAATCAATTGACAAGCTTTTATAGTTTCAATACTGTGAAAGAAAGTAGTCTTGTTTGGGTCTTAGAATTTATTTTTATTACTTCACTTATTAAAGCTTTACATAGATGGTGCAACGGCATACTGCTAGTTTTGAAACCCTTAAGTAAACAAGCAGTAACATTAATTGAATCCAAGGAACAATATTCTTCTACGTAAAAAGTATTTTATTTCTTTACGAACTCCGAAGCTCTCACAATAAACTTTTAAGCGACACCAAAATAAAATTAAATTCAAAATTGATTCAGACGCAATACCAAATTTTGTAGCCCCATGCCCCTTTCTCGCCTTCTCCTACGAAATTCGAGCGAGATAACAAAACACCCAACATAAATTCTTGCTAGTTCATTCTGTACTTGGCCGCGTGCCTAGTGGGATCGTATATAGACAAAGGTCCATTACAAGTACGTGTAAGAGCATGTTAAATATCTTCATTGTCTTTGGTATGAATATCATTAGCATTTTGCGTGATTTTATTGCTATAGTTTGAGATAACGAGTTAATAATTTTAGCTGACAATGGAGATAATATTATAATTTGAAGTAGAATATTTCGAGATAGTTTCAGGTAGCATCGTGTCAGGGTTTCTTTAGTTGTCAGTATTGGGCATTTTACAATAATGTTGCATTTTAAACAACGCCTGCTTAAAATCAGATACGATTGCAGTCAAAATAATATCTGCCTTGCTCTGCATACTGTAAAAATAAGTAAGTTCCCTTAAATGCTAATGAGGTTGTCAAAACAAAAAAAAACACCTCAAGTTCAGCTTTAACTTAGTACGTACTTACGATCACTTTTCTTTCTTCAATCAAATATAAATATAAGGCAAAATAATAGGAGGAGAAAAGAACAAAAGAACTATTCCAATTCACATCAAAACGAAAGTTACATAACAGTTTGAAAACCATTTTAACCCACCCCGTTAATAGTTCTCTAGATTCACTTCGACGGAGTTGAAAAAAAATCTGACACAGCACAAGTAAAACAGTATGTCGTAACGTAAGTAAGCTAGGGACTGGAATTCGCTACCTGCTGCCGTCTTTCCCGAAGACTATAATCCGGATCTTTTCAAGGCGAGAGTGAATAGGCACTTACAGGGCAGATATGTACCATTCTAGACTGCATCCCACTTAACATCAGGTGCGATTGTGATCAAATACCTGCCTTGTTATACATTAAAAAAGACAACGCGTGTTCAATTCAAGTGTTTACCTTTTTTATGACAAACAAAAAAAATGCCTTTCGTATTTTATTAAAGTTTAGACCTACATTTCACGCATAGGTACAGTTATTTAATATTTGTAATCAGATGGTGGGTTTTCATACTTTTTATTGAATACCTAACCAAAATTTGATAACGAAGATATTTAATCACTTCCCAATATCAAAATCACATTAAAAAGTCAACCGAAAAATCTATTGTAACCTTGGGTTTACTCAAATCATTTTTTTATTAATAGATATGAGAGGCTGTTAATGTAATTCAACTTTGTTTGCATGAATGCCAGTTTACCAGCGCGAACTCTACGAGAATTCTACCACTTAAAGAAACTATCATCTTTTGACCTGGCCGTTCTAACAGGGCTGTCCTTAGATCACGGGCGCCAACTCCCAGCCCTCTGTCGAACAATCCCCCTAATTGTGAGGTAACTTCTATTATTGTTACTGCTCTCTGACTGGATAAAACTAAATCCATGTTACAAGTTGAAACAAACTAGGATTTTTTGTATCACAGGGGAGATTTATGTTTTATTTTCAGTTTCAAGAGTTATGTTTGTGTGGAATACTCTTGTACATTTGGATTGAAATGATGTTCGATTTTTAAATCATAAATGGTATTAGGAATAAGTTAAAAACGAAGTGCATGAAGATAGAATGTTGTTTTCTATCCAGACCCTTTATAAAGATAAAGAATACGCTGTTACGCCAGTTACAACTACTTTTTTAAAAGCCAACGAATTACGANCGGCTGGGACTAAGGTGGCTATATGGGACCAGCTGTCTTTGGATGAAGGTAAGATCAACGACTATACTCGGCGCAAAAACTAGTGGCAGGCGGTGTCATAATAAAACAGTGCATAATATCACGTTTTCTCTCGCACTCACACTGGTTATGGGTGACGTCACATAGAGGTAGGCATAGCGTTCTTTATAATACANTACTTTTTTAAAAGCCAACGAATTACGACTCTTTTCAATATCTTGCGCTAAAACATTATTCTGCTGATAATTAGGTCTTGTTATAAGATAATTTATTACGTACAAGATTTATTTTTTTCGAGGAACATAACTTTAAAAAACATTAACTGAATAAATAAAAAAGCAAACCCCTATCTCCCAATAAGCAACTACTCGCTACAACGTGAAAGCCTTTCCATGTCATCCCTATCCAACCCGCGTCAAATTTTGATAGATTGGATTTGCTAGTAGGTGATTGACTCATAACTGACGACTGTTATTGAATGTCTAGTGCTGCCCGATGTAATTTGAAGGGTACGGGACTTCAAAAGTGACTCGATAATAAAGGGCAATGCAAAACTTTACGACGTGACTTCTCCATTGAATAATCTTGGCTAACCTGTGAAAAATTGTGTTAACTTGCGTGAAACTAATAATATGAACTGAATTTCTTTTATTATCGTTAAGTACCAAGACTTTGGAGAAGTGATTCAATAATACAAGGCATGCAAAACGTCACTTGACTGCTTTATTTTAGAAACTAGTCAGGTTTATGGACCAATGTTTAAGTTGCGTAAAACTCAAGAATGAGTGAATTTATTTGTAGTTTTATTTAGAAATTCTTAAGTCAGCAGAATAAGGGCTTAAGGGCTGAAGTTGATCATCATTATCATTTCCACTGTAGAAGGACGATTCTCCTTAATTCATTAGAGGAAAAAGAAATAATCTGGGCATTTTTACTAACACAGTATAAGAACTCTCATCCAAGAAAAGTTATCAACAGCCATAATTTTTAGGGAGGCTAAATAAACATACATGACTAGTACATATTAATACACACGAGTACCTATTTCAAAATTTGATCCTGCCACAATGACATACGACACCCGCTCTAGCCAGACGCGGCAAAAACCATCGTAATAAATGGAATGTCACTTGATAGTTCGTCACGTATCCTCCGCCATTGAACCTCTCCTCTAACGGTGTGATTAATTGCAGCAGGACCCTCTCAGAGTCACGTCATATCCACAACTTGCCAGTGGACGTGCCATAATACGTGACACAGTTTTGTTTTTGTTCGGTATAACTCTTGGTTGGCTTTTCTGACTGGCACTCATTAATTCTTAAATAGACACTTTTATCTACTAAAGTTATGTGTTCAGTTTAAAGAGACAAATATTTTAAGTCCTTTTAATTACGAACAAGTGAAGACTATCACAGACAAAATTTTTAATTGTTTGTGGGCTATATGCATCTTTGTATGTTCTCTTTTATTAAAATAAGCTAATCAATGACCAGCTTTTCATAATTTCTAAAACATTTTATTTACAAAGAATATATTTTCTTGCCAAACTATTTCAACTTGTCAGAGTTTTTGTAGCAAAAGTAACGTTTCAGACTTGGAAAATATAGAATAAAACACTATCAAAACCATGTGTGATTAATTATACTAGGACCCTTTCAAAGTCACACGTCATACCCAACAAACTGTAGTGGACGCGCGTCACGCTCGACACCGGCCGGCTTTGTATGTTTTTGTCACTCACAATAATGAAACTTGAAACGCTTTGTTGTGCGGGAATGGATGAAGTGTAAACTTTTTTTACGCTGTGACAAAAAATGGTCTTTTAGCTTTTGTTTTTTATGTTGTAGTAGGCACTTTAAAGGTTTGTAGGTTGAGCTGTTTGAATGAGGGTTTTCGCGAATGAAAGATCCGCTAGATGGCGAGACGTGGATGTGGGGTCTGACTGTTCCGTGATTGGTGGATTTTGACATATCTGTCAATGTCATGTCAAAAATAACCAATCATGCAGCATTTGGACCTCGCGTCTACGTATTGCCATCTGGCGGATTTTTCATACGCGAAAACCCTCATTAAATTGGTACATAGACATTAGGCCGCACTAGCGCTTATTTCAAGTGGCGATGGGAGAATAGGTGGTAGAACGGATAGTTGTTGATGTCACAATATCCAGGTATCAGAGAGTGGGAGGGCATCCGATGGAAGATAATTCCAATCCAATAAATGTATGTAGAATCCAATCGCTTTGTTCGTGCAGCGATATTGAAAGAAATATTTCTTAGAATGTGACATTACACGCATGAAAATAGGTGCATTAAACACATAACAATAACACAAGCAAAATAGGTATGTAGTGAACTGAGCTACCATGTCATCCTGCTGTAGGAACTAAATGTCCCGTGATAATGATGGTTATAAAAGATTTTCATAATATTTTTGTCGCCAGGTGTCCGCAAACTAAGCGCCATCTTGGCCGCTGCTGCTCGCTCTGGGACCTGGAAGATCGAGGCCCGCTGTGGTGGAGGCTCAGCCCGAGTGGAGCTCACCGTCGGTGCTGGTGCCAGCAGCACATCATCGGCAGCGCCGGCCGCTGAGCAACACTATGTGGAGCTGAGGTTTGCTGACAGCATGCGCAGGAGATACAAGCCTGGACTGCCTTTCGTTGGGCGGGTGAGTAAAACTCATTTATTTAAGCAAGTAGGCTTTTTAAAAGCACTTTTACACGTCCCAGTATTAACCCTACCACTGCTTCAGCACAATGAAGTCTTTTGGTATTCTTATTCTAATGTCCTTTTTATGATGTTACTTTGATATAACTCTCAAATACCTAACTGTAAAGAAGAGATCACTTCATCGATAAGACCGCCTGATTAAGCTGTCTTTTTTGTGTCTTCCTTTCTTTTCTTTTTTTGTTTTGTGTGGTTTACATTATAGTGTGGTCTATCTACTTCATATTTAAGTGCATTTAAGTTCTTTGAATCCTATTTTTAGCATCGTTCAATTGTAGGTTTTATGTTTTAACGAGGGTTAATATTCGTTACCTTTTAATTCTAGAAACGTTTTATGATACGACGCTGAGTATAAATCTACACTTCTAGACTAGGGTTGTGTTATTATAATACAAGTATAACCAAGTCCAATTCGCATAGTATGTGACCCTATTTCAAGCTAAAATAAAATCTCGATCGACTAAGTTTTCCTCTTATTGATACGTTTCAGTGGTAAAAGCCTATGCGGGCTTTGTAAAAGCTCTGTAACCTATATTCAGCCTTCACTCATCATCAATATCGTTTGAAGGCTGATATTATTGACAAGCTTATAAAAGGTTTCTAAGCTAAGTGGCCTATGAATTTATGAGATTTTTGTAATGAAAATAATTTTAGTCAAAAAATACAAGTATAGTAAGTTACAAAACAGATTTCAAACTAAACAAAAGCAACTAAGTACAACTTATTTGAAAAAAGACATTTTAATTTTTAGGTCTCTAGAATTTGAAATCATCCAAAACATTTATACTAAGATCAACACAAAAAATGCTTATCTGTTGCTTAAGTTTTTTTTCTATATCAAAACCACACTAAGCTTGAATATGAGCCTTATCATTGAGATAAGAGTAATGTACAAAGTTGTTTTTCGTATTGGGGAAAACGGAAACAAATTACAGGTCGTTAAGTCATACAGCCCTACAAGTTTCCAGGCGGCTTATGGCGGCGAGTTTATACTTCTTCGTTTCGGCCAAATGATGGCCACTGCCACAAAAGCCTCCCCGAGTTATGCTTATTTGTTGTGGGTCTGGTTAGCTTATATTTGTAAGCAATAAATAATGTAAATAAAAGTTTATGAATAGTGGTAACTGACTGATAGTGAATTTGTCGGGCAAGTTTAAGTAGAACATTTCTAGATGTAGCTAAAATTAATCATTATTATTGTTTATACACGAATTTGCTGTTAGTTTTTTTTTGTTTATGTTTGCTAAGAATGCATTTTCAAATCAGTTTGACATAACTTATTTATTAGAAAAAACAATTTAATTATTCGTAAACTCTATCATTCTTTTGTTGAATTTTCATGGAAGCAAATCTTCTTATAACAAAATGAAATCTATGGATAGAAAAGACATTTTATGGACACTTTAATAGCTCCACTAATGACCGACGCTATGATGACGACTCAAAAGTTTCAAAGTGTCAAACTGTTACAAAACAATTCCCACTAAAACCCCAGTAAAAATCCTGAAACGGGCTATGATATGCTTAATTATTTCTGTATTTAGGTCAGGCTGATGTATTTCCAGTATCCTGGTCATTATTAGGGGTGTTTGAGAGCCATCACGGCCGGATTAGTCCCGTCTAATATAGGCTTTTGTGATTCCAATGCATATTTAATGACTGTCAAATTGAGCTTTGATGGGAATATTTGGAAATGACGATCCTATTTTAGTTTCGGAACGGTTTAATATTGATACAGCTATATTGAGCGGTTTGTCGATGGAATGGGAACGTTTGTTAATTTAGGTTTTATAGCCAATGGAATTTTAAAGTTTTGTAAATTATATTACAGGCATCCCGCGATAAAAAATATAAATTTTAAACAATGTATTTAAAACGTATAATTCTTCTAACCATATGCTTTAATGCATCACTTCAGAAAAATGTTGTAAGTATGTTGAAGTTTTGATAATGCTACTTACCTTTTTAGCAAAGTTGGTATTTTTGTACCACAGTTTTTGTATCTTTTTCAAAGTCCAATCAATTTCTATGTCAAAATTAATTAAAATTGATAAAATTTACAAACAAATAAATCGAGCTACTATCACATTTATATCAATATAATTTGTTGATGGTGCGTTCCCGGCATTGCCATGTTTCTTCCCAGTCTTGGCAAGAGGACAAAGCTATAAATTTCGTAGGCTACACCACTAAAGTCGATTAAAGAAAGCCTTATAGATAGAGTAGTAAGGCTCAGAATGCAGTTTCATTTTAATTGTGTCGACAACCCTCGGTATCTCTCGGGGTAATCTCTTTTCCCATTTTCAATGCGTTTTTATTTCATTGACGTTATTGATTGATTATTTTCAGTACCATCCCTATATTCTCTCTTCCTTTAGGCCAGGGATACTATTAAAGTCTTGAGTGATGGATTTTCCTGAAGGGATGCTAGTACAAAAGACAGAATATCACTATAGATTTTTATTTAAAAATCAACCCTAATACAAGGAAATAAAATGCCATAGTATTTAGCTTGATGCGCCGTGGTTTCTACCGAAGAGGATATTTTCTTACTCTGTCCCTTGTTCTTTAATTCCCATTGATCATATTATTGATGACTTCTTTTTCAAAACTAAGGGATTCGATCGGATCTAGGTCAAAAACACAATATAGCATAAAATAATGGCCAATATTAGATTTTTCGAGGAATATAATTATTTTGGTATGGAGATTGGGTTAATTAAGGAGACTTTTGTCCGGTCTGATAAAAATAAAACTAGCTTTTCTGAATAGTCAATTAGGCTATAACAACCTAGCAACTTCAAGAACTATGAATAAAGACGTGCTCTTAGCTTAGCAACACAAAAGGGAGGTTTTATAAAGGGTAGTGGAGCTGAATATATTAAGTAAGGCAGTTCCGTTGTCAAGTAGGTAAACTATAATTATTAAAATAAAAAAGACGACATGATTTTATTTTACTTTTAACTCTGTTTCTGATATTATCAATTTCATTTTTATAAAACAACGATAGGTATCAACAAACGGAATTGATTGCGTGCGGTCATTATTCCCATGTCGCTTTTTTTCGGAAAGAAACTTAAGTCGAGATTGTACATACATTCGACTCACAGTGCGCGTGAACGCACAGGGTGACACACGAACTAATCACAGAGGTTTATTCAACGCTGTGCGATCGATTTGCTGCTTTACTGAAGCAAACAACGTTTGTGAATACCGTCCTAAGTTTTTTTTTATTTGAACTTTTGTGTTCTTATAAGATCTACCATCTTTTTACATAAGTTCCATATCGTCATACGAAATCAATTGCTTGTTATCGTACCTCCCAATCTCGTTTCATTAGGGTCCATTCATATCGAGCCGCTGTCGGCAGGTTTTGGACTTAAGCCAGGTCGGGTTGACTGAACATAATGGCTTAATGAGTCTTAAGTCTGCGCAATATCGTTTTCATTTAGGCCCGGGTATCAGGGGCCCCGTTAAAATGCCAACACGCCCCGTCTTAGATAAGGCCGTGCATGTATAAGTTATTAGCGGTAACAATATTAGTTGAAGCCTGCTAGTGTGATGTAGGAGATGAATTTTAAAGTATAATCTTCACCTATTTTAAGGGCAAAATTATAAGGAGATAGCTGTATTTTTTGCTAGATGTAAAAAGGCGGGAGATCGAGGTTGTAGCGCTCCTAATTTTATTAAGAGCCCTACTGCTCAATCGGAAAGTTTTTAAAAACACTGCATAACAATGAAATGCTGAAAGAATGCTGTGACACCAACACAGATTATGTACTGTAGTAGAATTGAGAAGATGGAAAATTGTCCACCTCGTCAATATACTTCAAATGACAATTTCAATTGATTTAGATCCACAATAATAACTTCTGACTTTAAAACCAATTTTGTTTTTTTCGTAGGTCGAAGCCATGAGCACCGAGAAACGCGTGAGAGTGCGCGTGAAGCTGTACGACGACAAAACTGACATCTACAGTCAGGATATTGACATGTCAACTGGAGAAGGCGGCTTCATAGTTCCGACTGTGATGGCTGATGCACCTTACGTGAACTTGCAGGTGAGTGATAGTAGTTAAGTCAGTTACTTTTGTCCGCGGCTTTACACGCGCTATTAACTTATATTAAAAGCTACTAGCTGAGTTACCCGCAGTAAAACGGTGCCTATGTGTGTTTCTAAAGTGTCTGCTAACTCCATACCAAATTTTATTAAAATCCCTCCAGCCGTTTAGACGTGAAGAAGTAGCAAACATACACACTAAAACACTCACAAACTTTCGCTTTTATAATATTAGTGTGATTAACAGCGTATTACACTTGAAAATTTCGACTGATTCATCTAGTGTCTAAGTAGCTCATATGGAAGAGCAGTCGCCCGGCAAGCGAATGGTTGTGGGTTTGATTCCCGCTTTAGGCAGTTCGATTTTTTCAAGATATTTGTAATATTAAAGATAGATCATAATTATTATGTAGAGTGATAAACATCCATCGAAAAACAAAAGGGATTTGCAAAATTTCGTATGCCAAATTCAAAAAGGCTCTGCGCAATTATTTTAAAGACTAAAACTTTTTTTTCTTATCTCTGACATGTGTTCTGTGTACGTCAATATTATTATTATGTTTATGTATCTAGGTGTATGTCTATTATATTAATATGTTTTCTTATGTTATTTATTTTATCTAATGCTATGTAAGTATATTAATTAAACGTCATTGTTCAGGGAATTTAGTCGAACAATAAAAGATTTGGATTTTAGAATATTAGGTTTATAGATTTACCAAGTTTGAATATAAATACAATGCAATCAAGTTAATAGTTCGGGAGGCGAAAGAGGTCTGTCGTTGGAGTGCGAATTTGACAGCTCGGCGCGGGAGCGCCCACGTTACGCGCTGTGATTGGTCCATAGATCAGCAGCGACATTATGGCGTAGACAGTCATATTTATTGCACCGCCTTAGTCTCTCTACTCGACCTGTGGTTGACTGGCAGATAATGCCACCTGGCATTAAGTCCGCCACTGTACAGTTGTATGTGCAAAAGTGTAAATAAAAAAAATAAAATAAATAAACTAGGTGTTAAAAGTTCACATTAAGATTATTATTTTAAGAACTGCCCTTTAACAGCTTACTCTACAGATGAGTTTTTCATGGAATACAAGTTTATGTAGCTACTCGTTGAGATAAAACTACCTTCGAATTACTTATTATTTTAAGTCCAGTAAGTTCCGTGAAACCCGTAAAACTCTGAGGAATAATAGTTCGAAGAATATAATCTTATTCCAAGTAGGCTTAAAGTAATATTAATAGATTTTCTATTATCCTTCCTCCTAAGGATTTGTTCCAAGAGTCCTCAATAGAAACCCACGCTATATCGACGTGTATTATTAAATCCACTCGCTAAGAAAATATGAGATGAATTCCTTGGTCACGTAGATAGACGACGTTAAAGAGAACCTAACAAAGGTTCTAGTATTATATTCTGACCTAATTTTTCCTAAGCTAAAATAAGTTTTGTTTTATTCTGTAGTCTTACAGACTTTACACACCAAGCCCATCGACAGCCCTAAATTAATAGACTCTATATTAATGTACAGAAAAATATCTGTTGCTGGTCAACTCGATGTTGTATTCGTCTCTAAGCCTTGGCATTATCTACGAGTATAATTATATGACTTTTCATGATCACTGTTTCAAACATTATAATTTCAACTTTAACAACACTTACAATTTGTATCTTTATCTGATGCCTTAATGTATTTTCACAAGGTTTAATTTTCCAAACGTTATCGAGGTTATATCGGCAGATCAGCCGTCCAAATTGGCCGTTCGCGCCTCAAACCTAATTTAGTTTAATCGCATCATTAATTGCCTCTCCAGAAACTTGCGAAACTCCAATACCCCTGGGTCTATCCCAGGCTGTGTTTCTGGAATACAAATGGGGAAATTGCAAGGACCCACTCATCGACTAGTCGGGCATTTTGGGCTGAATCGAAAATAATTTGTTTGCGACCGAAAGAATTGTAAAAACTGCGCGTTCATTGGTGATTGTACTTTATGAAGACAATAGAAATTACCTTTTAATGAAATATTTTTGCATCTGAAAATTAAGGTTAAAAGAAAAGCACATTACGTCATTTAAGTTGCAGATTTTCAAATACAAATTAGCACTCAGTTGTACCGCCATTGCGACAGCTCAACGTTTGTATAAAGATACTTTTATGCTCTAACGTAATTAGTAACTAATTACAGCATAAAATCAAGCAAAAATTTTAATTGGTAAAGATACTTAATTAGCACCGAGGCTACAGTTTAAAATAATAAAACGTCCGCTGAAATCGTTAAAACTGCAATGAAGCAGAAATTCAGTTCGTTACGTTTCTCCTTGCTTTGCAATTTGCCCCTATAGAGCACACATAAACTCAGTTAGCACGGGTTAAATAACTTGGTTTCTGTGGATTAAATAACCGGAGTGGGTTAGCATAGAAGTTTACGCAATTTAGCCTGTCCATAGAACAAAGCAGTCAAACAAGCTACGTCAGCGCTGAAACACAAAACTGCAATGCACTCGAACAACTTCAGCACTTGCTCTTCTTATTAATGAAACATAAAACTGTAGATTTTACTGGGAAATCCGTTTTAAAAACCACTACCCCAAAGTAAGAAATTCTATTTGTGATACACACCACAGAAGAAAAAAATGTGGCAATATGTGACACTACGATCTCTTAATGTAATGCATCGAGGGCCAAGGGACTTCTCATAACTACATTCTTTGGACTTATAAGTATCATGAATCACAGTATGTGAAGCCTTCTCCTTAGATATAAGTGATACCTATGTGAGTGAGTCACGTAATGGTTATGGAATTTAACAATATTTATGTTAGATGTCAATGACGCGAATAGATCAAAAATATTTTTTTTTCAAAGCGCACTGAAAAAGCAATCATTTAATTTTATAAGAATTCCGCAGCCTCTTCCTTTAGACCACCTCAAAGCAATATACTCGTATCATTAAAACCGTCAAAATCAATAGCTTCTGTTTCACCGGCACCGATATTAGCCCGATGATTAGTTTCCCCTCAACTGGGTCAAAGCGTCCCGTTTTCAATTTTAAAATCCATCTTCCCGCGTCACTGAGACGCAATTACACAGAGTCAAGTGGTTATGACGGTTCCATCATGCAAATATATCGGCTGAGCGAGATTGGCACTCGAACCAAGTGCCTTTAGACCCTGATAACTATCTTATGAATTATTATGTGAGCAGGCGTGACGTGGACAGGTACACACGGCGTTCTGGGTTGGACAGCCACACGAACTTTTATGTCACAACTCTAGGTAAACGAAAAATAAAATAGAACCATGAAACGTGTTCATCTTTTTACTTAAAAGTGCTTTTAGGTAAAAGCAGGCCTGGCTCACTCCGCGCGGTACATCCGATAATTACCTACAGCGAAGCGCCCCGCCGGCGGGTATTATATCAGTCGAGTGTCACGCGCGCGCCCGTCAGGACGCTGGCGTGCGTTGTAGTACCTAATTCTATGATCGAAATATTATTTAAAAATGAACATAAAGANTCCCAGGCTGTGTTTCTGGAATACAAATGGGGAAATTGCAAGGACCCACCCACTTATCGACTAGTCGGGCATTTTGGGCAGAATCGAAAATAATTTGTTTGCGACCGAAAGAATTGTAACGACTGCGTTCATTGATGATTGTACTTTATGAAGACAATAGAAATTATCTTTCAATGAAATATTTATGCACCTGAAAATTAACGTTAATAGAAAAGCACATTACGTCAAAGTTGCAGATTTTCAAATACAAATCAGCACTCAGTTGTAAAGCAAAAATTTTAATTGGTAAAGATACTTAATTAGCACCGAGGCTACAGTTTAAAATAATAAAACGTCCGCTGAAATCGTTAAAACTGCAATGGAGCAGAACTTCAGTTCGTTACGTTTCTCCTTGCTTTGCAATTTGCCCCTATAGAGCACACATAAACTCAGCACGGGTTAAATAACTTGGTTTGTGTGGATTAAATAACCGGAGTGGGTTAGCATAGAAGTTTACGCAATTTAGCCTGTCCATAGAACAAAGCGGTCAAACAAGCTACGTCAGCTCTGAAACACAAAACTGCAACCCACTCGAACAACTTTATGCACAAGCTCTTCTTATTACTGGAACGTAAAACTATAGATTTTACTGGGAAATCCGTTTTAAAAACCACTACCCCAAAGTTTTTAACTCTATTTGTGAATTGTGATTCACCGAAAAATAATAAAAAATAATAAAAAGAAGAAAAATAATAAAAGATGATGGCAATTTGTGACACCACGATCTCAAATCTGGTGGTTGTTTACTGTTCATAAGTAAATTTTGTAACATGCATCGAGGGCCAAACAACTATCATATTATTATCAACTACATACTTTGGACCTGTGTGCTTACCATGTTCGTTGCGTGTGCTCGCTAGCGTCTGCGTAAAAAGTCTCAATAAAAATGTATGACAGATTGTACGTACAGCGCCCCTAGCGGCTACTTTCCGGAACTAAAATCTTCATAGAGTTTTTCGACGTACTCGCTAGCGAGCATTCCTTTACGTAAACTCATGGTAAGTACACTGAAAGCGTATTGAATCTCATTATGTCACGTCGTCGTTTCAGCCAAATGACGTCCACTGCTGGACAAAGGCCTCCCCCAAGGTTTTCCACAATGAACGGTCCTGCGCTGCCCGCATCCAGGCTCTTCCCGCGACCCTCACCAGATCGTCGGTCCACCTAGTAGGAGGCCTGCCCACGCTACGTTTTCCAGCCCGTGGTCGCCACTCGAGAACTTTCCTGCCCCAACGGCCATCGTCTCTACGAGCTATGTGCCCCGCCCACTGCCACTTGATTTTAGCAATTCTGCGAGCTATGTCGGTTACTTTGGTTCTCCTACGGATCTCCTCATTTCTGATTCGATCACGCAGGGAAACTCCGAGCATAGCCCGCTCCATCGCCCTTTGGGTGACCTTGAGCCTTCTTATGAGGCCCATAGTAAGCGACCACGTTTCGGATCC